ATATCTGCATAGATTCTAAAAGAAGGAGTGATAACATTGTGGTGTTCTGAGAATTGCCTGAGATATGTAGGATAGCCAATGTAGTGCCAATTCACAACAAGAAAAAACTGACAGAAGGCATTAAACTACAAACCAGTGTTATTTACATATCAAGATGATGGAAACGCTCATAATACAGACAGACAGATAACACCGTCATGGGTTCAGAGGCTGCCAATCCTGCCTCACAAACATGAAATAATTCAGTGAACGGACAATGAAGGTCAGTCAAAATAGAGAAGAGTGGACGGATGACATAATTCTAAGCCCCCGACACAGTAGGTCACAAGAGAATAGAAAAACAGGAAGGAGTGAAAGGGAGGCACTCCAGGGGCTGGCCGGAGTACCTCAGCAACTGAATCCAAAGAGTCATAGTGAGAGAAGAAGGGCGGGATGTTATTCGTAGAGTCCCACAAGGGTCAATACTGCTGCCAATCCCTTTCCTAATCTAAGTGAACGATCCACCAGGAGAAGGATTCCCTCGTCTCAATGTTCGCAGATAATGCGAACATTGTGGCGAGGATAAAGACGCTATAACGCTGCAAGAAAGCACAGAATGACCTGGACAAGTGGACAGTAATAAAACTGGGAACGGGAACAGGAGCTGCGAAACAAAATATCACCCAAGAGAGGAAATTATTCTGGATTCTAACAGAGAAAATGGCTGGAGGTTGATGTCACACCGAACGTCACCAGAAGCCAACATCAAAAGAATATCATCAGCTGCATACGGAAGGTTGGTTTATATTAGAACTGGTAAAACACGCAACGAAGGGAGAACGCTCAGAGGTATGCTTCTAGACTAGTCCCAGAGCTGAGGGGTATATGTTACAAGGAAGAACTAAATAAGTTACACCTCATATCACTACAAGAGAGTAGAAACAGGGAAGACATGATTACCAAAGAAAGGGTACTCGAGGTACCGTTAGCTCTGCCTATTCAGGAGAATAGACAGAGCAGGCAAGGACAGACTACAGAGCAGACAAGGACAGACTACAGAGCAGACAAGGACAGAGTACAGGGCAAGGGTAGACCACGAACACGAGGATAAAGATGGAAATAAGTATCCAAATACTCTACCGCGTCCTACCGCGAGGCAAACTCCATTCACAGTTCTGAATATAGATATGACTGAATACAATACGCGCCGGAACCTGGTCACCAGTCGTGTAGGGAGCTAAGAGGCGGGGTCCATGAGCCGGAGCCCAGCCACTGAAAATACAACAAGGAAAGAACGTGTTCTTTGTTCCTCCCGCCTCCATGTGTCCCTCTCCCTCCCATCTCCCTCTCCCTCTCCCTCCCACCTCCCCAGTTTTTAATCACCTCCTCTTCCATCATCTTAAATCAGAGATGTTACGTCCCCCTTCCCGTCTAGCCATCCCCCACTCCTCTCCCCTCTCATGCTGCAACCCTTCCCTTTCTTCCCTATCTCACTCTTCCAGCTGCCCATTTCCCACGCACTTCCACTCGCCCTTCACCGCCTCTCCCCTTCCTACCCTTGCAATCATCTGTCACTCCACCTCTTTCCCTTCCCTGTCCTCTATCATTCCCCTTTTGCTTAAGCACATACCCCTCCCCACCTCTCCGCCTCCACTTACTTCACTCTTCGGCCTTTTCCCTTATCTTTTCCGTTCTTTCACTCTCCAACTCTTGCCATTCTAAAAACGTAAACAAAACCTGGACTCATAAACCTCTGCAGTTAAAATGATCCAAGATTTCCAGAAAACCTTTGGCAAAACGCCACACAAAAGAATGTTAATTAAGCTGTGAACCAAGGCAGTGGGGAGGAACAACAAGCTTGCATTAAACACGACTTAAGTAGAGAAAACAGCGAGAGGTAACAAGCTGGGAGTTATAACACTTAGATGTACACGTGTCTGGTCGTTCATATATTTTGGTTATAAACGAGTCTACAGATCCTTGAGTTAATCCAGGCATATCCACACTGATCCCCATACATTCCCTCATATATTACATTATATATGACAGTGTCATATATAATGACAAAGGACTCCTTCTGAAGATGTATTAACATACGAAAGTACTTAAGGAAATTCCTGTTTCAATTTTCCTCCATGGTCTGACACTGTCACATTTTTAATCACGTGTTTATTTTCGTGATATACACATAACATATATATATATATATATATATATATATATATATATATATATATATATATATATATATATATATATATATATATATATATATATATATATATATATATATTGTGTGTGTGTGTGTGTACATGAACTCACCCTAAAAATAAAAAAAATCCTTGTATAAAACTGTGAAAATATTGCTGCATTTCAGACAAGTAAAAGATGTAAATATTAGCATTCTTTTATTTGTTTTCACGTTCGCCAGACACGACGTTAAAACGGAATACGTGTGGTGGTGGAGGCTGTTGTAGTGCTGCTGAAGCTGTGACTGTTGACAGTACCAGCCGCTACCGTTGTTGTAGTGCTGCTGAAGCTGTGACTGATGACAGTACCAGCCGCTACCGTTGTTGTAGTGCTGCTGAAGCTGTGACTGTTGACAGTACCAGCCGCTACCGTTGTTGTAGTGCTGCAGAAGCTGTGACTGATGACAGTACCAGCCGCTACCGTTGTTGTAGTGCTGCTGAAGCTGTGACTGTTGACAGTACCAGCCGCTACCGTTGTTGTAGTGCTGCAGAAGCTGTGACTGTTGACAGTACCAGCCGCTACCGTTGTTGTAGTGCTGCTGAAGCTGTGACTGTTGACAGTACCAGCCGCTACCGTTGTTGTAGTGCTGCTGAAGCTGTGACTGTTGACAGTACCAGCCGCTACCGTTGTTGTAGTGCTGCTGAAGCTGTGACTGTTGACAGTACCAGCCGCTACCGTTGTTGTAGTGCTGCTGAAGCTGTGACTGTTGACAGTACCAGCCGCTACCGTTGTTGTAGTGCTGCTGAAGCTGTGACTGTTGACAGTACCAGCCACTACCGTTGTTGTAGTGCTGCTGAAGCTGTGACTGTTGACAGTACCAGCCGCTACCGTTGTTGTAGTGCTGCTGAAGCTGTGACTGTTGACAGTACCAGCCGCTACCGTTGTTGTAGTGCTACTGAAGCTGTGACTGTTGACAGTACCAGCCGCTACCGTTGTTGTAGTGCTGCTGAAGCTGTGACTGTTGACAGTACCAGCCGCTACCGTTGTTGTAGTGCTGCTGAAGCTGTGACTGTTGACAGTACCAGCCGCTACCGTTGTTGTAGTGCTGCTGAAGCTGTGACTGTTGACAGTACCAGCCACTACCGTTGTTGTAGTGCTGCTGAAGCTGTGACTGTTGACAGTACCAGCCGCTACCGTTGTTGTAGTGCTGCTGAAGCTGTGACTGTTGACAGTACCAGCCACTACCGTAGCTGTAGCATTTTTCCTAAAGCGTAATGAATGTAGAGTAGGAAGAGAGCGCCTTCAGCTTTTCTCTTTGGTTTTCCTCATTTCAAATAGACCTATAAAGATTATATAGGTTTAAATCTCTTATTTCCCAGCAGAGAACCAAACCTGGTATCTCTCTAGTTAGAGATAACCTGGTATCTCTCTAGTTGGCTTCCTCTCCTCTTCTCTCCTTCCTCCAAGTCCCATCTACTCCTGTTCTATCCATCTTTACTTTAACCATCATATCTTCCTGTCCTCCCTTTCATACATCCTCCATTTTACCTCTCAGCTATTCGTGTCTCGATACAATCACAGACGACAACAAAGGATCGCTATATGCATGGAATCTAAAAAAACTGCAGAATTATGCAGAATAAATTCTCAGTGAAGGGGCCGACGACTGCACCGGGATTTTTTTCTTAAAAATTTTGGATTTTTTTGTGGATAAGGTTTACTTCAGGAGGCGGACGGAATGGCTCAGAATTGCATTATTTCTCCGTCTTTCTGGAACTCGTGAACGTTGGCTCGTGTTGTTTATCTTTCTTTGCCATCTTTATCATCATTGTTTAAATCCAGTTTTGCTCTTGCCTCATCTTACTCACAGTCTGCTTTATAATCTTGTGCTTTGTTTCACAGCTTCATGTTCAGTTTCGCAGCTTCATGTTTAGTTTCGCAGCTTCATGTTTAGTTTAGGTCTGGTAATCATGAAGTTTGGTACTTTCCCCTCTCTCCTCCCCACCACAGGCCTGGTACTGCCTCTCTCTCCTCCCCACCACAGGTCTGGTACTGCCTCTCTCTCCTCCCCACCACAAGCCTGGTACTGCCTCTCTCTCCTCCCCACCACAGGCCTGGTATTGCCCCTCTCTCCTCCCCACCACAGGTCTGGTACTGCCTCTCTCTCCTCCCCACCACAAGTCTGGTACTGCCTCTCTCTCCTCCCCACCACAAGTCTGGTACTGCCTCTCTCTCCTCCCCACCACAGGTCTGGTACTGCCTCTCTCTCCTCCCCACCACAAGCCTGGTACTGCCTCTCTCTCCTCCCCACCACAGGTCTGGTACTGCCTCTCTCTCCTCCCCACCACAGGCCTGGTACTGCCCCTCTTTCCTCCCCACCACAGGTCTGGTACTGCCTCTCTCTCCTCCCCACCACAAGCCTGGTACTGCCTCTCTTTCCTCCCCACCACAGGCCTGGCTAGTCACTACCCAGTAACGTCACACTGGTTTAGCTGTATTTCATCCCCTGTTCACCCTCCTCTCACATCACAAACAGATCCCCCCCCCCCATCCCGTCCCATTTGCTTGGGCTTGCTTTCTCCTGCTATTTCTCCACCCCATTTACTCATATCGTTATCATGCCCTTTTTGTTTCCCTCTGGCCCTTTTATTTACCCCTTTTCCTTGCTATCATCCATTCCCTCGCGTCTATTTTGCAGTATAGTCGCTCATTCCTTTCGGCTTCCTCTGCCTTCCCCTGTTCATGTTACCCTTCTCTCCCTTCTCCCGGTCAGCCTCTTCCAGGCGTCCCTCCTCTACTCCATGGTCGCAGTTCCTGGCCTCAGAACTTACCTTGGTAGTCGCCGAAGGCGTGGACGACCAGCAGGGAGCTCTGCAGGAGAAGCAGTAGCCTGAGGAGAGCAGGCAACAGGGCCGGCGTGTGGAAGGCAGGGCTGCCGTCCGCGAGGCCTGCCACCCGAGTGCTGGCGTCGGGGTGGGTCATCGTCCACAGTGTCGAAAGTTGTCGTTGTGTTGGTGTGTCTATGTCTCTCTCTCTCTCTCTCTCTCTCTCTCTCTCTCTCTCTCTCTCTCTCTCTCTCTCTCTCTCTCTCTCTCTCTCTCTCTCTCTCTCTCTCTCTCTCTCTCTCTATGTCTCCGTCTCTGTGTTTCTGTGAGGAGGGAGTCTCACTGGGCTGCCACACTGAGGAAAGGTCGCCTGACCTTCCGTCTCTCTTGGGTTTTACCTTAGGTCACTCAATGGCGGTTTTCTCCTCAGCGCTTTTGCGATCCATCTAGTTCTCTATTCATTCTCCCTCCAACATAATTATTATGTGTTTTTGTTTTTCCTTGCAGCCTTTGGCTTCTCACCGCTACTCGTTCAATGTTCCGATGTTATTGCATCAGAGATTAGATATCAGCTTGCTTCGGAGGTTACAAATTCACAGATAATAATTTAAGTAATGATTATAAATATATATATATATATATATATATATATATATATATATATATATATATATATATATATATATATATATATATATATATATATGATAAGACATTATGTCACTGAGCCTCTAGTTTGCAGTTGTTTCTGAGGTTCCTGTATCAAGATTAATTCTGACATTTATAAGCTTGGTGACTGACACATTCACTGAACACGACACTGCAATCCTTACTCTACATTCATGCACGCACGCGCACACACACGCACGCGCACACACACACACACAAACACATACACACACAAACACACATATACACACACACACACACACACACACACACACACACACACACACACACACACACACCACACACACACACATAATTAGGTGATTAGGTGAGTACACACACACACACACACACACACCACACACACACACACACACACACACACACACTCACACACACTCACACACACACACACACACACACACACACACACACACACACACACACATAATTAGGTGATTAGGTGAGTACACACACACAAACACACACACACACACACACACACACACATAATTAGGTGATTAGGTGAGTACACACACACAAACACACACACACACACACACACACACACACACACACACACACGCACACACACACACACTCACACACACACACACACACACACACACACACACACTCACACACACACAGGAACCATCACCTCAAAAAGCACAAGATAAACTTGAAAAAGTTACTGAGGTATGCAAAGCGTCTCGTCCAACAGTTCATGTTCCTCTTCCATGACCAATCAGTCTTTCATTCATGAACCCGTCCCTTGGACCACCAATCTCTCCTTCTCATTCGTGGAACCGTTCCTGCCCATCAATCACATCCTCTTATTCACGTTCACACATTCACGTCTCGTCTATCGCGATCAGGTGATCTATCAGGCTCACATCACCTTTTAAGGTTGGGTCAGCCACCAGCTCACAAGCTAACCTTGTTCAACCAAACTGTTTATGTCTACCTCTTAAATGACATCAAGATCATTTGTTTCATGTTATAAATGCATTATTGATTTTCGCTTTGTACTTCCGTCCTAATCTCTCTCTCTCTCTCGTAGGTTCTGGTCTTCACACGGTCGACCGTCGTATACCTTGGTGATGCTCCATCATCAATCATCCCTTCAGTTATCTTCCACGTCACTCTCATGTAGTCATACAATCATACAGATGTTCCTCCTACAGTTGTATCACATACATGCTTCATACACGGTTAATTCAATTAGGTCTGGAGAGTTTTTTACCCTTCATCACTTTCAAAATACTAAGTATACTAATGCATACTTTTTGCTTAAAATATCTATAAGTAATACCTAGCTTTCTTTAATTTAAATAAAAAGTTATATTAATTATTTTACCTCTATATCTAGAGGTATTGTAAGGTATTCCTGGGTGTGTATGTATACCCATTCTTCCATTCATAATATTCATTTCAGTCTGTTAATTTCAGTCTCCCATTTTTATTCTTAAAGTTTTTCATCACACGAAGCTTGTGAAATGACCACTCATATGAACACATTTAAAATGAAAATTAACACAATAACATCATGAAGTTTCTAACAAGAAGTCATTCAGTGCCTTATATTTTTTTTTTTTTTTTTTTTTGAGATATATACAAGAGTTGTTACATTCTTGTACAGCCACTAGTACGCGTAGCGTTTCGGGCAAGTCCTTAATCCTATGGTCCCTGGAATACGATCCCCTGCCGCGAAGAATCGTTTTTTCATCCAAGTACACATTTTACTGTTGCGTTAAACAGAGGCTACAGTTAAGGATTTATCGTCATTCATTAACAAGCGTACTTCCTCTTTACTCTTGCTTTTACATCTATTACTCCATTTCACTCTTAAAGTTTACTTTCTTAAATATTTATCTCAATCCTTGCACACTAAGCTTTCTATCCACAGAATATGTGAACACTCTCATCCTTTAATTATCTCAATTTATTCCGTTAATATTTCCGTCATAAGAGCCAGTCTTTGATACCTTAAGAGAAGTCTTCAGTCCAACCATTCACACATTCTCTCTCTCTCTCTCTCTCTCTCTCTCTCTCTCTCTCCCTCTCTCTCTCTCTCTCTCTCTCTCTCTCTCTCTCTCTCCCTCCCTCTCTCTCTCTCTCTCTCTCTCCTCTCTCTCTCTCTCTCTCTCTCTCTCTCTCTCTCCTCTCTCCTCTCTCTCTCTCTCTCCCTCTCTCTCTCTCTCCCTCTCTCTCTCTCCCTCTCTCCCTTCCTCCCTCACACACACACTCACACACATTCATTCTGAAACATGCACATAATTACCATATGGAAAAATTCTGAACATTTGTATGTATTAAACTTTATCGATAAGTGAAGTGGACCATAGCTGATATTAACAGTATGTATTCTTCTTGTTACATGAGTTAAGAGAGTGGAATACATAATGTTTTGGCCAGACCACAAACTGGGACCAAGTCACCTATAATGTTTACTGTTTAATGTTTATATATGTTTACTGGGATCCGGTAATTTATCTTTAGCTCTCCTACCAGGAACAAGTCGCCTGTGATGGTAGGGTTACCTACCAGGATCAATTGGCAAACCATGGACTCGGATCCTATAAGAATCAATCCGCCTGCTATGGTCTGGTCAACAAGAATCAAGTAAACTATGACGTTAAGGTCACCTCTCTGGAGCAAGTCATCTACCAATCGACTTGAGAATGGTCCAGGACGGACCGAAACGTCGTCGTCCCTTCACCTTCTAGTGTGTAGTCTGGTCAACAAGTCATCTACCATTTTTTGGTCACGTATAGTTATCAAGTTACGCTTCTGTTGGTCATCTCCCAGGATCAAGTCATCTACCAAACATTCTCCACACCATAGCTTTACTTTTTAAATAATAATATTAGGTTCAAAGATATTTGTCATGGGCTATTTTTTTAAATAATAATAATAATATTATTATTATTAAATAATGATATTAGGTTCTAACATTGTCATGGCAAATTTTTCAAATGCATTAAGTGCCAGTAAATTAATTTAAACAGTAATTATATTCATTTCAATGGTTTACTTCTAGCAATTCTGGACAGATCAATTGCAATCATTGGAATGTTTTGAATCCATAACGTAGAGAACGAGTGCAATTGATTCCTAATCTCTTCTGATGAATTTATAATAAACTTAAAATTGAAGTTTATGTCTTAGTATTGCGTGTGTGTGTGTGTGTTCGTTGATAACACCAGTATTCATAAGGACTCAATGATATTGAACACAGAGGCCTCTGGAACATCATCTAACACAGGGCAGAGTTACAGAGTTCTGATTGACGATAATTTAGGAGATCTGACAAGTGTTTCAAGCACCATGTGAAGCACTATTCAGTATTTCTTATTAATGAGTGAATACTCTTCTTTAAAGATGTATTTTTAATTTTTTGCCACGTGGATATTCATGTTTGGGTCACGTCAGCTGTCTTGGTAACGACTGACGTCATGATGTCACTGTGGAAGATGACGGCTCAGGAGCATGTCTACATGTAACGGATGTTACATGTAGACTTGAGTAACATAACTACAGGTGGGTCAGGAGGAAACAGGTGGGTCAGGAGGAAACAGGTGTGCCAGTGGGTCATCCACCGGCCACTATACATTTACAGAGACACAGTGGGTCATCCACTTACACTCACGGAGACACAGTGGGTCATCCACTTACACTCACGGAGACACAGTGGGTCATCCACTTACACTCACGGAGACACAGTGGGTCATCCACCAGCCACTACACATTCACAGAGATACACTGGATCATCCACTACACACTCACAGATACACAGTGGGTCAGCCACCAGCTACTACACACTCACCAGACACAAGTGTGAGGTGAGTCAGTGGGTCAGCCACCAGCCACTACACACTCACCAGACACAAGTGTGAGGTGAGTCAGTGGGTCAGCCACCAGCCACTGGTCAAGTAACCACCACTACAGGAAACTTTTCTCGTCATCTCAACAGCTGGTCATTACCCTCATCACAACATACATTTCCTCATTCATTTTTGACCAAGAAGTTCATAAACTTATCTCATTATCATGTGAAATAACCGGAAGTAAAAAAAAGAGACAATTCACAGTCATGCAGAACTAGCAGTTCACTCGTCAAGACGGAGCACACTGGCACTGCTGCGTATGTAAGTATGTAGCTTCTCTAGGCACTAAAACTGGTGGAGGCGTCGTAACGAGGCACTTGGGGGCTGTTAACTGTGGTCTTTCCTCACTGGGGAGAGCTGCGACTCGGGCCAACAACGAGCGTGAAATTTTCGTAACGCATCGCTTGACCAGGTTTTCCATTAGTCCCATCACCACACTCTCTCTCTTCCCCTTATTTGATTGTCTTAAAAAAAATTTCTTATACGTATATCATAAAACTCTTGTTATTTCCATATGTAACACGTAATTATATATGATATATAAATTAATCATTGCGTATATACCTTATTTTATATTGTGTATATATTTCATGTATAATATATACATATATCAAAATATTACTCATTGGTCAGTTGGCAAATGTAGCCAACTGCTTCAGCGACACACAAGCACAGTGAACGCTGCGAGGGGGCGGGTTCCCCTTAGATAAGAGGACGCTACAAGTCCGCATGGTGAGGTGCGGTCCGCCGCTGCCTGACACCGCCAGCCCGCCGCCGCTTGTGTTCCCCTCGCCACGACTGGCAGCGAGGGGAGGAAGGCTGGTGGTGAGAGAGAGAGCAGGTGTGGTGGTGGCGGCGGCGGCGCGTGGTGGTTGTGGTGGTGGCGGGTGGAGGTGGCACTGCTCGTGGCACCGACACAAGGTGGGCCAGTCGGCCTGGCACTGGTGGCCAGCACCCACGCCAGCTCCTCAGCTTCCTCGCCCCGCCCTCCGCCACGCCCCTCACACACACCCACTTAATCCCAACCATCTCAGCTCCTTATATATCCTGACTCGCGACTCAAAACCACTTAATACCCCCAGCAAGCCGCATTATCCCACACCTCGCTTCTCCCTGCCTTCAGCTCCATCTAACCCACTGGTCAACCCCTTCTATCCAGCGTGGGGGGCACACACACACTATTCTACCGTCCACTTCCACTCTCAATTCCAGCCCATCATCAAAACAGTGTTGTGAGGTTCACAACATATTAGTCAAACACTGTGGCTACAGACACTATACATAGTCGGTATTTGGACCTACCGTCCACCCAGCCATGTTAGAGACTATGACTTGAGACGTGTTCGTTCACCTTCAGTCTGTAAACACTCCCTAAACCACAGTAACCAACGCACCTTACCTAACCTTACCTAGACATAACTATACATAAACCAACAATATAATAATAACAGTAATGTCTTATCACAGACATAATACCATAAGATTAAAAACACACACTAATGTATATGTGTATGAGTCATGCACTCTATCACTTCATTATTGATTGTCCAGACATTCCAAATCTTAATGCTAACGTTATGAGGGACTTATGTCTATCAGTGACTACAGGAACGTTGGTCTGGCTCTCTGTGACCCGTCTACTGGCCGTGTTGGACCTGTTCAGTTATAGTTGAACTGCTATGACTCTAAACTTCTTTCTCTAATCTGACCTTAAAGTGTTGGATGGAGGTGGCGTCTACAACTTCTTTTAATGCATTCTACTTTTGACCACTCGGGGTATGAGAATTTCCTAACATTTCTTTGGTTCATTTGTGTTTCCATTTGTGTCCTTAACAACCTTCTCTCACTTTAAAGAGGCTACTCCATTCTACCTTGTCTATTCCCCTTACTATCTACTATGTTGTGATCATATCTCCTCTGTTTATTCTTCTCCAAGATTGTGAGGTCCAGTTCCTTCAACCTGTCCTCACAACTCAACCCTCGTAGCTCTAGCACTAATTTAGTAGCAAACCTCTCCTCTTTTCCAATTTTAGTGTTATGCTTCACAGGGTATGGATTCCAGGCAGGAGCTGTATATTCCAGCAATTGTCTAACAAAAGTTGTGTCGATTGCCTTAAAATAGGTTTTAGGTTATTGATTAGGTTTCAAATGACGTTCCTGATTAGGTTTCTAAATGACGTTCTAATGTTTGTCAGCGTCCCATATGCTGCTGATGTCACCCTGCCTACGTGTGCCTCTGATATCAATGATGGAATTATATCCACTCCCAATTCTCGTTCTTTCTTCGTCTCCTGTAGCTGCTTTACATTTATGTTATAACCACTTTATGGTCTCCTTTCTCTCATTCTCATTCCTTTACCTTACACTTATTGGGATTGAACTGCAGCAACCAATTGTTTGCCCACTCCTGGAGTTTGTCATGGTCCTCCTGCAACATTCTGTAGGCCTCCTGTGTTTATACAGTCCTCATTATCTCTGCGTCATTTGCAAACATTGACATGTATGCATGCGATAAGTCACAATAACGTGGCTGAAGTATGTTGACCAGACCACACACTACAAGTTGAAGGGACGACGACGTTTCGGTCCGTCCTGGACCATTCTCAAGTCGAATCGACTTGAGAATGGTCCAGGACGGACCGAAACGTCGTCGTCCCTTCAACTTCTAGTGTGTGGTCTGGTCAACATTGACATGTATGAGCTCACACCCTCGGGTATATCATAAATTATGAACTTTAGTGGTCCAAGGACCGAGCCTTTAGGGGGGTCCTCACATGTGACACTTCTCAAGCTGGAGACCTCGCCCCTAACTGTGACTTAGTTGTCGGTTCTTCAAGTACTCCCTTACCCAGTTTATTGTCTTTCCAATTATCCCAGCTTGCATCTCCATTAGGTATACCAGTCTTTCGTGAGGAACAGTATCAAATGCCTTTTTACAGTCTAGGACAATTAAATCTACCCCCGGCTACTTATTCCTGTCTTGTTTTTGTAATTTTGTCATAGAACTCGATTAAGCTCGTCAGAAAAAATATTAAAATTCCGAAAACTTTGGCTTATTAGGCAAATTTAAATATATATAAATGCACATCTATCTCTTCATCTAACAGTCCATCTATCTATCCGTCTATCCATCTATCATATATGTATCCATCTATCATCTATGCATCCATCTATCTATGTATCCATCTATCTCTCCACCTAACAATCCATTTAATGTAACTTTCTATTCATCCACCTATCCCTTTATCCATCCATCAATCCATCTAACCATCTACCCATTCCTGTACCTGTCCTTCTATCAGTGTGTGTGTCTGTATCCGTTTCCTATGCCAATTTGGGCGAGGAAATAGCCTTCAAACGTCTCGAAATTTGGACATACAGACAGACATTCTGTCTTATAGTACAAATATATACATTGCCAACCACCATAACGCGAATAATAACACTTCATTCCCCCCCCCCCCCTAGACAATCAAAGAGCCTCGAACCACTGACCACATAATCCGTAACTAGATTTGTGGTCGGCAGTTCGTGGTTCAGGTGAATGAAAGGTTATTATCCATGATATGGTCGTTAGCAGTGCCGATGACAAGGTCTAGGATCACCTGACACCTTTATGCCACCAAAGTGGCACCTTAGGAAAGGCTTAAAGGTCCAGCTTGACAACAGATGGGTACCGCTTGACCCTTTTTCTTAAGGGGTGTTGTTGAATATATATATATATATATATATATATATATATATATATATATATATATATATATATATATATATATATATGTATATATATATGTACATATATATATATGTACATATATATATATGTACATATATATATATATATATATATATATATATATATATATATATATATATATATATATATATATATATATATATATATATATATATATATATATATATATATATATATATATATATATTCAAAGTGGGCTATTGCAGTCTTTCCACCATCAGAGCAGTGAGTATTTCTGGCTAGTATTCTCTTCATAATACAACACTTGCTCTGATTAATTATTCAACGTAATTGGATCATTGAGTCGAGCGTGGAGTAGGGGGGGGGGTGATGTGGCATGGTTGGTATGGTTCTGGTGTAGTACTGTTGTTATGGTTGTGGTGTACTGGTACTCACTTAATTGTACTTGCGGGGGTTGAGCTCTGGCTCTTTGGTCCCGCCTCTCAACCGTCAATCAACTGGTGTACAGGATCGTGTTCAAGCGCGGCGGACTATAAGCGCAGTGGCGCATAGTGCGCGGTATGAAACTGACGTCGTGTTTAAACGAGGACAGCGACCAAGACGACTGTTGTGGAGTGTCGCTGGTGTGTACCCATCCCGACCTGACCCAGAGTGTGTCCGTCGTCCCAAGTATACTGGCGTTATACTTCGCAACGTGTACTGGCGTTGGACACCTAGGTATAGTGTAATACAGTTAGTACGGGTGTTAGCCAGCTGTCACGGGCTGCTTCCTGGGGGTGGAGGCCTGGTCGAGGACCGGGCCGCGGGGACACTAAAAGCCCCGAAATCATCTCAAGATAACCTCAAGATAGTAGTGGCATATTGGACACCTGAGTGTATTAACTGGTGTGTAGTGTCCGTGGTTGGAGGCAATTGAAGACGTGGAGATAGTGTAGTGCACGGGATTATCGGCACTGAGGCGCCAGGGTGTAGATTGTGTAGTGTTTGTGGGTGTTTTAAGCGATGGGGTTAATGTAGTGTAATTGATATTGTGGCACCTTAACACAGGTGTTAGGGAGGAGTGTCATGCGCCTACTGTAAGGGATTATACCGGACAGGTGTGCGTTAGTTAATTAAGGGATTATTGCCAGGAAATGTAATGTGTTGTGCTGGCTTTTGGTTACTGAATTGTTAGTGATGTGTTCAGGCGCACGGCGCGTGTATGTGTAGTGGTGCTGTGGTGATGTTACTGGTGCTGTGGTGATGTTACTGGTGCTGTGGTGATGTTACTGGTGCTGTGGTGATGTTACTGGTGCTGTGGTGATGTTACTGGTGCTGTGGTGATGTTACTGGTGCTGTGGTGATGTTACTAGTGCTGTGGTGATGTTACTGGTGCTGTGGTAATGTTACTGGTGCTGTGGTGATGTTGTGCTGTGGTAATGTTACTGGTGCTGTGGTGATGTTACTGGTGCTGTGGTACTGGTGCTGTGGTGGTGCTGTGGTGATGTTACTGGTGATGTTACTGGTGCTGTGGTGATGTTACTGGTGCTGTGGTGATGTTACTGGTGCTGTGGTGATGTTACTGGTGCTGTGGTGATGTTACTGGTGCTGTGGTGATGTTACTGGTGCTGTGGTGATGTTACTGGTGCTGTGGTGATGTTACTGGTGCTGTGGTGATGTTACTGGTGCTGTGGTGATGTTACTGGTGCTGTGGTGATGTTACTGGTGCTGTGGTGATGTTACTGGTGCTGTGGTGATGTTACTGGTGCTGTGGTGATGTTACTGGTGCTGTGGTGATGTTACTGGTGCTGTGGTGATGTTACTGGTGCTGTGGTGATGTTACTGGTGCTGTGGTGATGTTACTGGTGCTGTGGTGATGTTACTGGTGCTGTGGTGATGTTACTGGTGCTGTGGTGATGTTACTGGTGCTGTGGTGATGTTACTGGTGCTGTGGTGATGTTACTGGTGCTGTGGTGATGTTACTGGTGCTGTGGTGATGTTACTGGTGCTGTGGTGATGTTACTGGTGCTGTGGTGATGTTACTGGTGCTGTGGTGATGTTACTGGTGCTGTGGTGATGTTACTGGTGCTGTGGTGATGTTACTGGTGCTGTGGTGATGTTACTGGTGCTGTGGTGATGTTACTGGTGCTGTGTTACTGGTGATGTTACTGGTGCTGTGGTGATGTTACTGGTGCTGTGGTGACTGTTACTGGTGCTGTGGT